TAGGTTACCTTTGCTTAGGAAGGAATCCAGTATTTATGCCAAAGTACTCCTCAAGTGTTCTTGGGACTTTCCTATGCTTTTTTCTAGACATTTACAAAAAACTCAGGGAACTTTGTCTCACCAGAAAGATTTGTAAATATTTGAAATAAAGATGACTTTGCTGGTGTCCTCAGAAACTTGAGAGCACTGCAATACTGACACTTGGTCTTTTTTATAGTTCTTTGCTTCACAGGACATGAGTCCTCACTGCACTAACTGCAAACATTATGTTCATGTGAAGTCAAACACTTACAGCATCTGTTGTCAGCTGGTGGGCCACAGAGTGTTACAATCTACAAGTTAGCTCACTTTGCAAACCAAATGACTTACTACCTAAAAAAACCCAAAAGACCAAAAAAAAAAAAAAAAAAAAACCCCAACAAAGACTATTTAGGGGACTAATACAATATTGTGAATACTGGGTTCTAATTTTTTTCAGAAAATGCTGGAGCAGTTGTGTGATTATTAACTATTATGGTTCTGTCTCTATACTCTGAGGAGGGCTTGGGGTGCCTGGGTAGCTCAGTGAGTTGAGCATCTGACTTGGGCTCAAGTCATCATCTCGCAGTTCATGGGTTCCAGTGCCTGTTGGGCTCTGTGCTGACAGCTCAGAGCCTGGAGCCTGTTTCAGATTGGACTCCATATCTCCCTCTCTCTCTCTGTTCCTCCTCCACTTTCACTCTGTTTCTGTCTCTCTCAAAAACAAATAAACTTTAAAAAGAAGTTTAAAATCTGAGAAGGTTTTTTAATAAGTGAAATTGGGTACAGTCTCTACCCTGCTTTAAAAAATGGAGCAATTTTCTTTAATAAAGATTTTTTTTACCTCAACAAAATCTATTGTTTCTCATGCAAAACTGACTGTTGATTTGTCAGAAATAAAAATTTATAATTACCTGCTCAGATAGCATCATTTCATATTAGAGTTCACACAAAGTAAAATGACAAAGTTTATAAAGATCCTCAACAGATTAGATAATGCTTACCAACACTGGCGTGGGGGGTGCCCAGATGCTTTACTCAGTCCACAAATTCAAATGCTATTCTTTTCTGGAAACAACCTCACAGATGCAACCGGAAATCATGTTTAACTACAGATATCTGGGCATTCCTTGGTCCATACAGTCAAGCTGATACATAAAATTCATGATCAAACTTAAAAATAAAAACAAAATAAAAACTGGATTCATGTTTCTCATGATAAGACAACTTCTCAGGAAGACTGGACTATGGTTCCCATCCAGGACTTGAAATTTAAGTAGTCTAGAATAAGTGGTATTGTTTACTGAATGCAGATTAAAGGAGTTCTTCCAGAAAACTTGCTTCTATTCGTAGACTGCCTTATTCTGCTATGCACAGGGTTATTTCAATTACTTAAAAAAGCACATATTACTAAAAATCAAACATGTTATTGTTACATTAGTTTTTTTTTCTGTATTGCCAGTGTTGTGAGTGGAATTGTGTCCCTCAAGTACCCACATGATGAAGTCCATCTGTACCTCAGAATGACACTTTATTTGGAAACTGGGGGTTACCAGTATAATTAGTAAGGATAAGACCATATTGGAATAGGGTGGGCTCCTAATCCAGTATGACTGGTGTCATTATATAAGAAAAGAATATATGGACATAGACAACAGGCACAAGGAGAATGCCATATGGAGATAAAGGCAGAGATCAGAATTGATGCTAAGAATCACCAAACATTGCCAGGAAATCACCAGATGACATGCTAGAGGGACTAAACAGTCTCCCTCACTGGCCTCAGAAGGAACCAGCTCTGCTGACATCTTTTTTTTTTTAAGTGTTTATTTATTTTTGAGAGTGAGACAGAGAGAGAGAGAGAGAGAGAGAGAGAGCAAGCAGGGGAGGAGCAGAGAGAGAAGGAGGCTCAGAATCCAAACAGGCTCCAGGCTCCAAGCTGTTAGCACAGAGCCTGACATGGGGCCTGAACCCATGAATCTTGAGATCACAACCTGACCCAAAGTCAAGTTCAAACAACTGAGCCACCAAGGTGCCCAGACCCTGCTGACATCTTAATCGTGGACCTCCCAAGCCTCCAGAAATGCAAAACAATAAATATCTGCTTTTTATACCAACCAGTATGTGGTACTATTACAGCAAACCTAGCAAACTAATATACCCAGTAATGGTTCTCACAATCTCATTTTCTATCACTTCTAAATTGTACTCCCAGTATAAATAGGATTTATATTTGTAACTCTTAACAATGTGATGATTGACAAAGTAGAAGTGGGGCCATCTCTATTAATAATTTTTTATAACAACAAAGTAAAAATAATTAACACATATTCAGGTACTCAAGCTCTTCTCTCTCTCTCTCTTTCTCTCTGTCTCTTTCTTCTGTCTCTCTCTGTCTCTCTCTCTCTCTCTCTCTCTCTCTCTCTCTCTCTCACACACACACACACACACACACACATACACACAAATGTACTGGAAGGATGATGTAGAAATAAACACCTAATTAATGCACAAACAGAAATCTGGCATTCACAGATAGAAACTGCAAAATACAGGTCTAATGTCATTTAATAAACTTTGGGATGCAGGTTCACTCCATACCCAATATAGATAGATAAACAAAGGTGATTGTCTATCACTAATGGAGATTTAGGTGGCTGTTATAATAATGTAACTGTTGATTTAGATTCAATGCCAAAACAAAAGAAAACAACAAGCCCGCAGGTAGGTTTGTCCTTAAGACTTAAAATAGAGCTATACATAAACACTAGAAGTTCAATCTCTGCCTTTTAATGAGTGCCTCACCATAAGACTTTAGCTCTAGATGATGGTGGTAGATATCAATGCATTTCACATCTGGGAAAAGACTACTGAAAATTATAGAAAATTACTAAAGAGACTAAATTGTCATATCAGTGTGATGTTAGTTACGACTGACTGACACTCAAAATTGGGCCTTGCCCAATGAGAAACTTCCGATTAAAAATTTAGACTTTGAGTCTTCAGAGTTGAGTCATTTCTTAGGTTTGGAAGAGACAAGACTTCATAAAGAACCACTAAATGGTATTTCGATAATTATTTGAAAATGCAATATTAATGACACAACTGATAAAATATATGGATAAAAACATTTCTGTAATGTAGATAATAACCAAGTATCTGATTTAACTGTTTACCATTGCAATGATATATTAAAAAGCTATTCCCGGGGCGCCTGGGTGGCTTAGTTGGTTAAGCTCCGACTTTCACCCAGGTCATGATCTCGCGGTTCTTAGGTTTGAGCCCCGTGTCGGGCTCTGTGCTGACTGCCAGCTTAGAGCCTGGAGCCTGTTTCAGTCTGTGACTCCCTCTCTCTCTGACCCTCCCCGGCTCACGCTGTCTCTCTCTCTCTCTCCTAGAAATAAATAAAACATTAAAAAAATAAAATCTTAAAAATAAATAAATAAATAAAATAAAAATAAAAAGCTATTCCCCCAAAGTAAATAAAGTACTGACTTTTAAAAAAAAAAAGTCAGTAATTTTGTTGTTTTATCATCATTCTGACATATATTTTCTTTTTATGTTATATAGATTTGCTGGATATTTAGACTGCTGTCACTTGGCTAGAAAAAGATGGGAACAGCAAAGGAAATAATAATTAGAAATTTTAATGTTACTATTTTTAAGTGAAAAAAAAGAGACTTCACCTCCTCCCTTTTCCAAGAGGAGTCATTTTAAAGAACTTTGTGAGTTCCTTCTTCCTCTCCTTGAAATATGTGTAAACCTTTTTGAAAACTAAATGCAAATCTTGCCAATTTTTGGGACTCAGGAATGTGTTTTTCAAGGACCTGGGCACCGTCTCTTTGAAATGCAAACATCAAGGAAGATAGTGCACATCTCTCTCAATTTCTATGAGAAAATAGGAGCCTCATTTGGACAGAAGCCTCTCTCCAAGTTGCAGAACTACCTCTTGACATAAAGAAATGAAAAGGTTATTTTTCTTTAAGAAAACAAACTAACATAGATGGCCACTCCCATCACCAAGTAAATTTAAGATGAACTATGTGTGACAAATGATGCTGTCATGTTCAATATCTGGAAACTAGTTATTGTTTTTCTTGGGAACATGAGTGTAATGGATTGTATCTGTTTGGCTCTGTCTTTGAAGTCTCTTAGTGGATTGTTTTTGACGTGCATCATATGTTGGTTTAATGCTTACACAATAATAAAATTGTTTTTTTTTTCTCTTCTAATTTCATGGGGAGATTATCTGGGCCAGAAAAAGATTTCATTTTTAATTCTATTTACCCAACATATGATACCAAAACTTTATAGTTATTCTAGAAGAGCAGAGAACAGATCAACCTCACTTATAGACATGTATACAAAACCCTTACATAAATGGTAAAAGTGATAAAGTATGTGCATGGATATCCAATTGCATTACTTATAATAACATAGAGCGCAAAAACTCTTCAACAACAGAATGAACTTTAAATTACACATCATTCATTTTAGTAAGGATGTAGCCAATAAAGAAATATTTTAAAGAATGATGTTGAGGGCACCTGGGTGGCTCAGTCGGTTGGGCGTCCAACTTCGGCTCAGGTCATGATCTCACGGTTCATGGGTTCGAGCCCCATGTTGGGCTCTGTGCTGACAGCTAGCTTGGAGCCTGAAGCCTGCTTTGGATTCTGTGTCTCCCTCTCTTTCTGACCCTCCCCTGCTCTCTCTCTCTCTCTCTCAGAAACAAATTTATTTAAAAAAAATTTTTTTTTTTTCAAAAAAAGAATGAAGTGGGGCATAGAAATTGTATCCAGTTTTTAATCTGTGATCTGAGTTTGCCTTTTTGTTTTCCTCACCTACTAATGCTCTGGGTCTATTCCACTTGATTTTCATACCTCATTTTCAAACTGCCTCTAAAAGTTTGAGCTATTGATTCTCTCAGCTTTCTGTTATGTTGTGTCCTCTGGCAGTAACACCCAGACAGAGGATGATCTGACTTCAAGCCTTTTTGTACAGTTTAATGAAAAATATTTTTAAAATAAAGCAGGACTCATATTCTGATTAACGGAAGATCCACATGTGATGGTGTAGCAGGATTCTTGCATAGGGTCATGACACTGAAGTTTTTCTCTCCGGGAAGCAACTTTATTCCTGCTGGAACAACACAGTTGGGTTCACACCTGAAAAACTGACCCCGAACAACACATGGCACAGTTTTGAGATATATATATATTTATTTATTATTACTTCTTTGTCTCCCATATATGGTAACACACATAAACATGCAGCATGCAGTCTGATTGAGTGGTCTACACGTTACAAGGTCATGAGAGATGTTGTCATGCTCCTGCATAGTCAGATTACCTTGAGGTTTTTCTTTTCTTTCTTTTTTTTTTTCCTTAGGGAGGAGACCCTACCATAATAGAAAAGAATGTCTGTCTATAGAATGTCACAAAATATAATCACTATACATATTTGAAATCTTTTCATCATGTCTGGATAGAATATCTGGACATAGCTTCCTGAAAGGAAATCCAAATCATATCTTACCTCTTATCTTTTTGAGATGCTGAGCATGGTGAATATTAATGCTCACCAAACTAAGCAGAGATAATGGTTGTTAATAAGGCCCCTTCTCCTTCTCTTGGAAAAGTTGTGTGACCAGTCTGATCCTTCCTTACTTCAACCTTTTGTTTTTGTGTGTGTGTGTTTGTTTTTTTGTTTGTTTGTTTTTACCATTTTACCATAAGTAATGTAGTTCTATTTTAAGTTGTCTTTGTACTAATTTATTTGAATATTCAACACTCCCACCAGACTCTGGTTAATTTGCTGCAGGGCCAGTCTTAACAACTGTATACCTCCTGTTATTTCTCAAAATGCCAGGCACACAGTATATCCTTAATATTTATGAAATAAAGGAAGAGTAAAAGGGTATGAAGGAAAAAGAAAAAGCGAAGAAGTGAGGATATCTGGGCAAAGCCTTAGGATAGGCTGAACTAAAACTATTAATGAGGAGTATTCCATGTCTTCAAAGTTTTTTTCTACATATTTTCCCTGACTTTGGGTAAATTATGAATTTATCCAATGGCAATCTCTAACTTCAAATTAAAACATAGACACAACATATAAAATACACTTCAGTGCATAATTTGAATGAATTGATAATATTTCCAATAATAACTTACCATTTGCAAGATTTTTATATGGAAGATGAAAGAGATAAAGAATGGTAAAAATGATGGCCAAGAAATTTTACTCAAAGAATGACATTTAACTTATATATTTTAAAAAACTCATGCTTCATCTCCAAGGTATTTAGTGTCTGGACTGACTCAAGTAGGCTTTTGAAAATCTTTTTTTTAAATCAAATTTGCCATTGCAGTAAGTTTTTAGAAGTATTAATACAGATTTTGTGCTAGCCTGTCATGACAAACAGATTAAAATCCTTTTTGAGATATTTCTTCAATTTTTAAATAATTACATTAAATAATGATAAAAGCCTGATTATTAAGTTGATATGAGGACTCAAATGAAATGCATGAAATATGAACTATTTTAGGCAACTAGTTCCTATTGATTTGGCATCAGATAAAATTAAAAACTATTTGTTCGTTGATTTGAAGGTTCATTCAATTTTATATCTTTTATGAATCCTACTTTTTATGTTATAATTAATGAATCAGACTTATTATATAATTTTTTGATGTACATATAATGCTTGATAACAGTCTCAAAATCTTGCATGTCTTCTGTTCCAGACTATTCCATTTCTCTATATTATTTTGTGATGTCAAAAATTTAATATATACTTCTCATTTTAATAATTAATGGATAAATACAAAGTTGTCAAGAAGAATCGCTTGTCCTCAAGGAATTCATAAATTAGCTCATGTGACAATAATAGGTACTTAACATTATCTGAGAAGTAGTATAGCATTACAGTTAAGAGCTTGAATTCTGGACTCAGACAACCAGGTTCAAAACTGTTTTGTGGTTACATCTCAGTGGACAAAATCAACTCCTCCTTCCCCAAGACTGGTTCAAATATCAAGACTGATAATACCATAGTCACACAAACACACACATACACCAAAGAGGTATGATGTTTTATAACTCATAAAGGTTTTTCAGGCGAGGAAGACAGGGATCCAAGTCTACCTCAAATCTTTTGAGTTGAAGGGCTCTATGGCTTTGGTTATTTTTGCAGTTAGGGTATGAAGGTGGGGTGAGGATTTCAACATATAGGCAGAGGATTGTGCTTGAACCTGTCACGATGGCCAAAAGCCAGAGCATGTGGGCTTTCTTACTGAGTATTGTCCAGATGTGGAACAAGAGGGATCGAGAGAGGGTTGAGGCCTCTGGATGATGTCAGTTAATCAAGCACCAAAATGGAGTCAGACTCTTCATTTGAAAAAACAACTTCATTATTTCCTAGCTATGGGACATTGGGCAAATCACTTTACTCACATTAATCAGAATAATATCAAACTCTTCTTCATAGATTTGTTTCATTTACTGTATAGATAAAATGGAGCTAATATAGTCCTTACCACATAGAGTTATTGTGGGGATTAAAAAGATATATGGATATTATATTCCTTAGAAACTTTTTTGGCACAGAAAATAATCTCAGAACTGGATGTTCTTATGGAATTGTTATATGATAGACCCTTGTGTTAAGCAGAGTATGTGGCATTCATCTGCCATCAAGAGCTCACATTGTCCACGGGAAGAGCTTAAAAAGTAACTCTAGTACTAATGCTATAAATTAGAAAAAAGAAATGATTTAAATTTAGAAATGGGAGAGCTTACTTCTAACACTGGAGCAGTTAAAATTTGACATCTATATTGAAGGCTGAGTAGTGGTTTCACATGGAGAGAAGTAGAGAAAAATATTTTTCAGACAGAAGAAACAGTATAGCAGAAACACTGAGGTACAGAACGTGTAAGGTAGGGAACGGAATGACAATTAGAGCACCAGCAATGGGGAGGACTGGATATCCCTAAGACAACCAGTGGCCTGTGAAAGAATTATACTAGATTGCCAAACTGTGCATTATAAATAAAAATCACAGGAGGTTTCAAAAACAGAAATGAATGACAATAGAAACAGTGGAAGAATCACTCATAAAGGTGATGCAATTTAATATCTGAATTGTGGCATTTTTCTAAATTAAGAAAGGAAGTTAAATATATTCCATGTAATGGTAAACACAAAGAGAATATATTTCTGGATATATCTCTGGAAAAGACTTACTTGACCAAATCAGAAAGTAGATATGCAGAGACTGTGATGAATAAATCAGTAAACACTATGGTATCATATTTGCAACAATCAAGTATATTCATAAAAACGGTGGAAGACATTAGTAGGATGATGGCACACACACACACACACACACACACATACACAAAATCAAAAGATATGGAAACATTCTGCCTATCTTGAATGTAATCCAAAAGTCAACTGTACATAGAAAATCTACTGTCCACTGTGTTTTTTTTTTCTGCTCAGTTTACAGTAGTGAACAACAGAGCTGAGGCCATGGCTCTCACAAAGCCTATCTCTAACAATGAAGACAAAAGGTAAATGAATAAAGAGATGATTTCAGCTGTAAATGTTATGAGGTAAAGAAAACAGAATGAATGATAGAAAGTGAGTTGGGGCATGTGGGGAATTTTAGAAAAGCTCTTCTGGAAGTTCTGGAAGTTTGATCTGAAATTTCAATGACAAGGCAAAGTCTATGCAATGATCTAGGGAAGAATATTCAAATATAAGATGGTTTGAGGAGAAAATAGGTATGAAGTGATGATGGCTTCAATTAGAGTGTGGGAAATGTAAATAAAATAAGAAAGCGTAGGTAGAATATCCTTTACGGGAAAAACAAATTAGACTGGGTAAATGAATAGGAGATGAAAGAGAAAGAACGTGCAAATAAAATACCAAGAAGAGAAAGCAGAAAAAGTCTAATAATATTGAGGGTCTGAATGCTTTAGTGTGCATTTTTCAAATAAGTTTTATAGTAACAACTCAAGCTACATGGTAGAAGTCATTTAACATATGGGAAACTGTGGTTGTAAACTGTTACAGGTTTTCTTAGAGTCACACTTCAGAATTTAAAACCAATCTCCTAACTTCAAAGCCCATGGTACTGGCATTTTACCTTGCTTTCGCCACAGCTTTAAGTGATGCGTGGCGGTACCACTGGCACAGAGAGAATATTTAGAAAATAAGGTTTATGCACTTAGAAAATGGATCTTATTTTAGATATCTACATGGAATTATATACTAGGCTTTTGGAGTTGGAAAACAAATAAGAAAGGCCTAAGGCTATACTGATTTGAATACACTTGAAAAAGAGAAAGTTGGAAGATAAAAAAAAAAAATTTAAAAAGCCTTTGGTGATACTTTCCCTACTCAGTTTATGGGCCCGAAAAAAACTACTGATCTAATAAAATCATTATAATTTCTTTAAATTCGTTTACCATTTGATTACTGACCATGAGTATTTCAATATTTTCTGAATGAAGGCATATTATTAGTGAAACTTCAATGCCAAATTTTCTGACAAAAACTGATATTTGCCTTATTTGAATGCTAAACAGAAAATCTCTATTGAGGCAATCCATTTCAAAGCAAAAATCTAGTTAGTTGCGAAACTTTGGTTTTATTTTATACTAGTTCTAGAATGTGAAGACAGGGTCACCTGAGTGGCTTAGTCGGTTAAGCATCCGATTTTCGCTTAGGTCATGATCTCGCGGTCCGTGGGTTCAAGCCCCGTGTCGGGCTCTGTGCTGACTGCCAGCTCAGAGCCTGGAGCCTGTTTCAGTCTGTGACTCCCTCTCTCTCTGCCCCTCCCCTGCTCGCGCTGTCTCTCTTTCCTAGAAATAAATAAAAAAAAACATAAAAAAAAATTTTAGAATGTGAAGACAATATGAATATTAAATGATATTCAGAATACAAAATATTTGCAAAAACACCACAATTTAAATAAGCTTGAGTAATTAATGAAGAGAATAATACAATGAAAGAACTTAAAATACCATGGAGAAGAATTTATGCTTTTTGATACATTTAAAGTTATTCAGAATAATTAACATGGAAGAAATAATGAAGGACTGCAGGACTCTGGAAAGATAATAGAATAGGAAGCACTAGGAATCTGTCTCCCCACCCAGACAACGACTGCACTGGCAGAATCTAGTAATGTAATTATTTTGGAGCTCTGGCATCTATTAAGCCTTGCAACCTCCAAGAGAAGGCTTGAGAAGTAAACTGGATTAATTCAGTTAATTTGAGCTTTTAGTTCAGCAGCTACTACCCATCCCCCACCTTCTAGCCCCCTGACAGAGATGCATACATATGTCCCTAGAGGAGTTTCTATATAGATTACAGAAGCCAGGGTAGGCCATAATAGCCTTATTTTCAAAATATCAAGATTATATGATAAAGAATATTTTTATTTCCCTAAAAAATATCTTTGTGAAGAAACAAAATTTTAAGGATGTTTTCTGAATTGGTCTGAGGTATCTGGAATTGGCTTCACAATTTAATTGAAGATGTTAATGATTATTTCCAATAGCAGAAAGGGCACTGATAGTCCATTGCATGAACTTGCAAAAGAGATAGGCAAACGTCTTCATTGATTACTCCTAGTGACCTACTTATCATGAGCCAATTTCAACAAAAATTGAACATTTTTGTTCAAATATTTGTTTTGAACATTTTTGGAAAACAAACCAATATAATGAAGTTCATGGTTGTTCCTGCTGATGAACAAAGTGGTGGGGGGAAAAATGGATGAGTTTAGGATTCAAATACCCACTTCAAGTGCTTCATAAATGATCTGAAGGTGTCTGTTTCTACCCTAGAGTCTACACTATGCCTTGTAGCAGCTGAGTGAAAACTTCTGAAAATCAAATGTGGAATCCTATCCCGTGACTGGCTGAATTACAATGCTTGACTCCTAGATTTCTAGGAATTGTCTATTGTTAAAACAAAAGCACTGATTGGGAAAGGATGGGTCACTGTAATTTGGGATGGAGTCATGTGGGAATACTTTAATGAAACTGGGAACACTGAGCTCCTAAATTCCAATGAGTCATCTCTGCCAGTAGAAGAAGTCTCCCCATCTACACTGAACATGGCCTCTGTATGCCAAGAAGAAGTAGTGCCCCCATTCAGACTTTTCCCAGAAAGTGGCCTCCCTTTCTGCAATGAAAGAAGCCTCCCTACCCCCAGTATAATCTTCACTACTTCCAGTGATATCAGCCTTTCCACCACAGTCTGAGGGAATTAATAATTCATAGGCTAAGGCAATTATAATGGCCTTTCCTCATGCAGTTGCCTTGTGAGGTGATGCTTATTCTTTCTAAGACCAATCTTTACCTCCCATTTATGCTTCTACACCTATAACCCAACTCTGGCCCCAGCAGGCCCATAAAGGTGATATACAAAGTATGACCCATGGATAGGTACACTATACTCCAAAAGAACTACTTGAGCTTTCTTTCTTTTTCTTTTAATTCCAGTGTAGTTAACATATAGTGTTATATTAGTTTCAGGTGTATAATATACAAGTGTTGAATCACACTTCCATACATTACTCAGGGCTCATCAAGAAAGGCTTACTCTTGGGGTGCCTGGTGGCACAGTGGGTTAAGCATCTGACTCTTGATTTCAGCTCAGGACATGATCTCACAGTGTGTGAGATCAATCCCCACATCAGTCTCTGTGTTGGTGGCATGGAACTGCTTGGGATTCTCTCTCTTCCCCATTCTCTCTCTCTCTCTCTCTGCCTTTTCCTGGCTCATGCATCTGTGCACTTTCTCAAAATAAATAAGACATTAAAAGAGAGAGAGAGAAAGAGAGATCCCCCTTACTTCTTTTACCCATTCCCCTACCCACCTTCCCTCTGGTAACCATCTGTTTGTTAAGAGTCTGTTTTTTCATGTCTCTTTTTTTTTCCTTTGTTTTGTTTCTTAATTCTACATTAAGTGAAATTATATAGTACTTGTCTTTCTCTGACTTATTTAACTTAGCATTATACTCTCTAGATCCATCCATGTTGTTGCAAATGGAAAAATTTCATCATTTTTATGGCTGAATAATATTCCATAGTGTGTGTGTGTGTGTGTGTGTGTGTGTGTGTGTTACCTTTTTTATCCATGCACCTACTGAAGGACACTTGGGATGCTTCCAAAATTTGGCTATTGTATATAATGCTGCAATAAACTGGAGGTTTCTAATTTATACAGACAGAAATGCAGAAAACATGTGGGAATGAATACTAAGGGGGTGAGATGATTGTGGAAGGAACAAAAAGTTGGATGGGGCTAAATTTATTGAGATGAGCTAACTAAACAGAAATTCTGTATTGAATGTTACAATTCTGAGAATTAGAAAGTGTTAGCTGGTTGGTTGATTGCCTGAAGCATGGACTGAAAGGTGGCCCACAGTTAGTGAATTAAAAATGCTTGGGGGCGCCTGGGTGGCTTAGTCGGTTAAGCGTACGACTTTCGCTTAGGTCATGATCTCGCGGTTCGTGGGTTCGGGCCCCGCGTCGGGCTTTGTGCTGACTGCCAGCTCGGAGCCTGGAGCCTGTTTCAGATTCTGTGACTCCCTCTCTCTCTGACCCTCCCCTGCTCACGCTGTCTGTCTCTCCCTCTCTCCTAGAAATAAATAAAACATTAAAAAAAATTAAAATAAAAATGCTTGACAATCTTGATTTAATGTACAAGAAAAATTCAAAGGCTTACAAGGGATTGGAAAGTAAAAGTGGATTTGTCATTTAATAACTATAACTGAGAGTGTCCAGAAGACATACCTTTCACTAACACTGTGAGATATAAATTTGTGAGGGCAGCCCTGTCATCCTTGAAAACTTCCACGATCACATTTCTCTATAGACTAGACTTTAAGGTAGGAACTGCATTCACTGAAATGCAACATGAATGATTGGATTCCAGGGTAGCAGGGGTCAAGTGATGGCACTCAACCATCAAAAGCAAGGTGGATGTGGTTATTGTGATGGCCAGCAGAGTCATAATGGCAATCAGAGAGTTTGTCTCTCACATACGGATACCATTGTTTAGTTTATCATGGCATTCTTATAAGTGATAGAGATAGGAAGCCTACTAAATGTGAAAATAATTTATATAAGCAGTTAAGCTCTAGGTTAAATGTACAAAAGGCCTACCTGATGTATTAAAAAAAAAAAAGCCATAGCTCCTCCATTAATTCCCAGACTTGAGTCAGTTTATAAGACCAGAGCCCCTTGAATGAACAATAGGCTGGGTTCCCTTGAGAAAGGATCTCAGTACAGTACCAAATATACATACTGTTAAACTTTCTCCCAGCCTTATCCCAAAAGGACCTAGTCTTTTGCCAGGGTAACTGTGCATTTGGGGAAAAGGAAATAATCAGAACTTCTGCAGACTAGTGAACACCATCTCTGAACAAACACTGATTTGAGGAGACTCAAAATGTCACTGCCTCTACCTAGGAAAATAGTAAACCAAAAGCAAATACCTCATTCCTAGACGGATTTGAGAGGTTAATGTCATCACTGACTTGAAAGATGCAGGAGTGATGATTTCTACCACATCCTCATTTAACTAGTCTTTTGGCCTATGAAGATAAAACAGGTGGACCCTGGAAAATGACAGTGGATTCTTATAAACTACCAAATACTGACTCCAACTTAAGTTGCTGAATCAGATGTGGTTTCCTAACATATCCCTGGTACCTGGTAATACTGATCTGGCAAAGGCTTCTTCCTCAATACCTGCTAACAGAGACCACCAGGAGCCATTTGTTTTAACTGGAAAAGACAGCAATACACTTTTGCTCTTCTACTTCAGGGGTATATCAACTCCCAGCCCCATGTCACAATTTAGTTTCCAGGGATTGTGATCCCCTTTCCCTTCTAGGAGACATTAAACTGTTCAATTATTCTAATAACATTATGCTGAAACTACCTAGATAGCAAGAAGCAGCAAATACTAGGAGCACCTGGGTAGTTCAGTCAGTTAAGTGACTCTTCATTTCAACTTGGGTCATGATCTCATGGTTCATGGGTTTGAGCCCCACATCAGACTCTGTGCTGATAGTGTGGAGCCTGCTTGAGATTCTCTCTCTCTCTCCTTTCTCTCTCTCTCTCTCTCTGCCCCTCCCCCACCTACTCTCTCTGTCTCTCAAAATAAACTAACTTAAAATAATTTTTTTTTAAAAAGAAGTAGCAAATACTCTAGAATTATTGGTAGGACACTTGCATGCCTGAGGGTGGGAAACAAACCTGGTCAAAAAATTAGAAGGCTTCCATCTGAGTGGAATTTCTAAAAGTCCAGCATGTCAAGTATGGTACACGCCAAGATATCCCTTCGATTTTATAAATTAAGATGGTGCATCTGTCCCCTCCCACAACCAGAAAAGAGGCACAATGCCTAGTGGGCTTCACTAGATTTTGGAGATAATATCCCTCTTCATTGCACTGCCCCAGTCCATTCACCAAGTAAGCTGAAAAGCTGCTTGTTTTGTGTGAGGCCCCGCGACGGGTCTTGACTGCAGTGTAAGCTGCTCTGTTACTTCAGCTATAGAGTCCAGTCAGGCCAACGGCCACTGACGTGGCAATCACAAAGATGGTACTCACCCTAATAAATGACTTAAATACAGTTTCAGAACACAAGATCATAAGTTCAACTGGATTTTTATGTATTAGACAAATAGAAAAAAATATGCTTTAATAA